GGTCTTCTGCATAATTGGGACCACAGAACATGCCACTAAGCCTAATTTATTTGTTGAGATTAGTGTCTTGCTAACTTTTTGCCGGGGCTGACCTCAAACCATGATCCTTCTGATCTCTGCTTCCTGAATAACTGCAATTACAGGTGTGAAACACCATCCTTGGCTTGAAGATTTCCTTATCAACATGAATTAGGAGGTAGATAAGAATTTGGGGGGTTAGGGGGGATAACTCAAGAGTAGAGTACTTGCCTAGCATGCACGAGGTCCTGAGTTCAATTCCCAACATCTGGAGTGAGATGTTTACGTGGAGAGAAGAGGGATCAGGTGGCTGTAATATTGTAGTGTTGAAAAAATGAGCAAATAATTTAGTGGTAGACACCTAGGTTCTGTAAATTAGCAAAATGATAAAATTGCTAAAGAGGGAAAAGACGGGTTTCATGGGCTGGCAGCTGGACTCCATAAGATCCTAAGAAAATCCTTGATGCCTATGTTCGAAGGCGTGTGGAAGATGAAATGACTAGCACAATGAAACTGGTATTAATAGCAAGTGAGAGAAACTGGTACCTGGTGCCCACTGCTAATACTGAATACTGAATATAAAATCTTTTTGAGAATCCTCCTGGGAAGATCAACAGGAATAATAGAGAATGTGAGATGCCAAAGAACAGTATGGCATAAAGCTAACTGAAAAATCACTGCACATGGAAAAGAATGAGATGGGAAGTACATTTATTATGCTTGGATTAAGGAAAGGCTATTATTAGGATAAACTGATTTTTCTCATTAATAATAAATATATTGCTCTAGAACAGCTTTTGAAATGGAAGGACCTTATATATAAGCCATTTGGATCAGCATTTCCATTCTCAATAAAGAAGATTGAAGGGAAAATGAAAGTGATAACAGAATAAAGCAGTACTGCCTATATAATCCTTTACTATTTTATTAGTCTGAATATTGAATTTTTCCTCCTCCCTTAATTTTTCTTTTTGTTTTTGAGACACAATCTCCTGACTGGCCTAGAACTTACAAGCTTGCCTCAGCCTCTGGAGTGCTAGGATTATAGATATGTATCATCACACCTGGCTTATTTTTTTTTAAGTGTAAAAGACTTAAAGGACATAAAGGGAAACTGAGATCACTCATAGCCTCTTATTCAAGAGGTTTAAAATAAGACTCAGGTTTAAAATAAAGAGTACAGAAAAACTGGGATAGCATCAAAAATGGATTGAAAAATCATGTAATGCATACTTTTTGAAAGCAAGTATATGGTTATGTTCTTTGGACAGGCAATACATACAAAAAAGAAATTGGATCATGAAAATAAAGAAACTAGGAAAGAGTGTAGACATAGGTTAATTAGAAGTTATTAGACATCAGTTCTTAGTGATCAACTAATCAACTAGGTGTCATTTTTTTTCCCTCACTGATCCCATTCCCATGTTTTTGTTTTTTTTGTTGCTGTTGGGTGTTTCTTGTTTTTTGTTTTTGCAGTACTAGTGTTTGAACTCAGAGCCTCATGCTTCCTAGGCAGGTGCTGTACCACTTGAGCCACTCTGCCAGCCCTTTTTATGTAGGGTATTCTTAGGATAGGATCTCACTTTTATTGTCCAGGTTTGCCTAGAACCACTATCCTGATCTCTGCCTCCTGAGTAGCTAGGATTATAGGCACCTGGCTCCCCGGGCTTTGATTACCATTCTTACACTAATAACTCTGAAATCATTCCTCAGACCCATATATATCATCTGTCTATGGAAGATTTCTTCTTGGGAATGTTGCAGATCCCTCAAATTGAACAGGTCCAGATCTGAAAAAATAATTTCCATTCTTCACTTCCCCACTCTGAGTCTGTTTCTCTTCCTGTGTTTCCTTGCTACGGATAATTGTATTATTACTCATCTTGTCCCCCTCTTTAGAAATATAAACATACTCCTTCTTTCACTCCTGTATCTAACCAATCAGTGAGCTATTCATTCTTACCTTTAATATCTTTCACATATATTTACCTCTCTCTTCTTAGTCAATTAGTTTAGACCAGGAGTTGACAAACTTTTTCTATAAAAAGCCAGATAGTAGCTGGGTGCTGGTGGCTCACACCTATAATCCTAGCTACTCAGGAGGCAGAGATCAGGAGGATGGCGGTTCAAAGCTACCCTGGGCAAATAGTTCCACAAGACCCTATCTAGAAAAAAACCCTTACAAAAAAGGGCTGGTGGAGTGGCTGAAGATACAGGCCCTGAGTTCAAGCTCCAGTACTGCAAAAAAAAAAAAAAAGAGCAAGATAGTAAGTATTTTAGGTTTTGTAGGCTACATGAATTCTGTCACTGCCACTATAACTGAAAGCAGCCATAAACAATGTGTAAATGAAACTGTGTGGCTGGTTTATTTAAAGACACCAAAATTTGAATTTCATATAATTCAGATACCACAAAATCTTTTTCTTCCCCCCAAACATTTAAAAAATTTAACAACCACCTTAGCTTCTCATCCCTATAAAATAGGCTCACAGGCCATAGTTTCCACACCCCTGCCTTAGACCAATATTCTCTCATCTGTAATGTGACCATAATGTTTGACACGGTCTCCCTCCCTCTAGTCTTGCCCTCTATAGTATACTTCACAGATAGATTGATTTCAGAATTGCAAATTTGGTATCATGACCTTGCTTAAAAGTCCTTTACAGGTTTACCATATTCTATAAATTGTATCCACATTGTTTGACAAAGATTTCATTTCTATTCATATTTCTTCCTATTCCCCCTTAATTCTCTGTTTTAGCTACTTGAAACTGCTTGCAGTTCCCAGAATGTTCAGTGTTTTCCATTTCTAAATTTTGACACATGCCTTTAATGCTTTTCCTCCTCACTTCTCCCTACTTTGCCCTGGGCAAACACTACTCTTTCTAAAGGAGTCACTTGAGCCCTTGTCATCATCTCCAGAAGCCATCCCTTCTCCCCCAAAGCTGTATTTAGCAGAAGCAGCTAAGTTCTCCCATCATGTCATAGCCTCCAATGATACAATGGCAATCACCTATTTACTTGACTGCGTCTTTTAAATAATGAGCTCCTTGAGTACCTGGTGTTTATCCATTGTTCTGTCTCCAGAATCTTGTGTGGTGCTCATAGTCCCATAGTACACTCAGCATTTTTATGTGTATTTTTTGCATTTAAAAAATTGAGATGCAATTCATATAAAGTGTGTAATTTAGTGATCTTTAATATATTCACAGTGTGACACTGTTGAATTCCAGAATGCTTTTACTGCCCCCCACCCCAAAAGAAAGTCTGTGCCCATTAACAAGTCACCAGGGCTATAGCTTAGTGGTAAGCATGTACTTAGCATGCAGAAGACCCTGGATTTAATCCCCAGCATCACCATTAAAAAAAAAAGAAAAGTCACTCCTCATTCCCTCCTCCCCCACCAGGCCTTGAGAAACATTAATCTGTTTTCTTTCTTTATGGATTTGCCTATTCTGTACATTTCATATAAATGAAATGAGACAATATTTGTCTTTTTGTGACTGACTTTTTCCATTAGCATATATATTTTCAAAGCACAACCGTGTCACATCATGTAGTAGTACTTTATTGCTTTTTGCGACTGCCTATCAGCATTACATTGTAAACTTCCTTTTTCAAACCCCTCAAGATTCTAAAGGGAAAGAAAATGGGACTCCTAGACTCCTATTTCTTCTTCAACTGGAGCACTTTATGCTGCTGTCTGGTATTTGTTTATGGATAAACTTTTGTCTTAAGTTTGATAGTCACTGACTCTCAAATTGAAGAATAGACTTTACCTGGTTGTAAAGGTCCTCCATGGTCTTTTTTTCCCATATCTTTCTTTCCTACCACCTTTTCCCCTATATCATGTGTGTCAGTCAAATTGTACTTTGGTAGAATTTGTCTTGTATACTCCATACTTTCTTGTCTCTGTACATTTTCTTATGTTTTGTCTTCTAGGTGAAATGCCCTTTTACACGTACTTCAAGTTTTACCTAGCTTCAGTACTGAATTCAGAGAGAAGCTTTCATTAATCTCTGAATTCCTATAGTAATTATACCACTTTAGGTACTACCTTGTCTATTGATTCCTTGAGACTACTCTTCAAGTTTTATTAATTGTTCTATATTATTCTGTCCTGTACCGTGGCCCTGGAGAGTGGGAGAAAGGGGATATGTGTGGCTGTAAAAGAGTGTGCGGAGATGTTTGCGATGATGGAATAGTTCTGTATCTTGATTGTAATTGTTGTTACACAAATTTATACATACGATAAAATAGCATAGGACTGTACATACACATTGTGCCAGTTTCTTGGTTTTGATGTAGTATTATAGTTATGTAAGATGTACCCACTGAAAGAAATTGTGTGAAGGTACTATCTTTCCTGTGAAATTTCCTTTGAATCTATAGCTATTTCAAAAACTGAAAGTTGTTAAAATGTTCTTTTAAAAAATTGAGTTGGCATTTATCATGACCATTAGACCACTGATATTGGTGCTTCTGATTAGTATGAGTCTGAATGTGCCTTCAGCATAAAGTCAACTTGAGGTAGACAAGAGAACCCATTTGTGGTGATATTTTAGTTACATTTTATAATTAGAAGAAGCTTGTTTAAAGCAAGAACTAAGACACAAGAGGTTCTTTGTGTATGGCTTATCAAAGGTCTTATTTTAATTTTTAGATTAAATGGTAAGTCTTAATTTCAGTTATGTTTTGGCACACTTTGAACTTGTTAATGTTCTTGTAGACTGACTCCTAAAGGGTAGTAACCACAGTTCTGTATCCTGAGTAGGATTCTACACATAGAGGTACTGTGTCATGTTACGGGAGCTTGATAAGCATTACTTTGGACTTGACATTTACTGTTTCAGATGATTCTTTCCTTAACAGAGCTTTTGTTTGCATTTATGATTAAATTCAAAGTAAATATAAGCAAAAACCAGTAAATATGAATAGAACTACATAATCTTTAGTAAAATGAAAACTCAATTTCTTTTCAGGTTAAACTACAGAACAACATATCCTATCAGATGGCAGACATACATCATTTAAAAGGTAACAAAATTATGGAGTAAAGGTAAAAGCAAGTACATATCTAAAATCTTTAAGAATTAGGAAATAGTAAGACAGCTAAATGAAATAGAATTTTCTGAGTAAAGCTCCTCTGATGTCAAAACATTTATCCGTTTGCCTTAAGATAGAATTAGAAAATTTAACCAGATGCAGTGACTCACACCTCTCATCCCAGCTACTCAGGAGGAGGAGATTAGGAGGATCACAGTTCAAGGCCAGCCTGGGCAAAAGTTAGCAACCTTATCTCAACCGATAACCCAGGTGTAGTGATATATGCCTGTGCTTTTAGCTACAAGGAAGTCATGGGTGATAGGATCTCTGTTCAAGACTGGCCTAGGCAAAAATGCAAGAATCTACCTGGAAAATAATTAAAGCAAAAAAAAAAAAAAAACAAAAGGGCTGGAGGCATGGCTCATTGGTACAGCAAGTGTGAGGCCCTGAGCCTTTGAGTTCAAACCCCAGTATCTCCCCCCAAAAAAGAATAAGATTTCATATGTAATAAATGCACTTTAAAACTTGAAGCCTACATTTTAATCTTGTGCATAGAAAGTATTCAGGCAATTAAATGTTCTTAAATTCCTCAAAGAAAATTGAACTGTCGCTTCTGAGGCCATGAAATTTACAGAGAAAAGGTGAGGAGTGTTCCTTCTGCATTGTGTCTAATCTGCTAAAATAACTCATTCAGGTCTAGGAATGCTTTGGTCAGGTCCTCCAAACTTAATGTTTTAGATACCCCAGAAATAGAAAGAAACCTGGAAGAGAGGTAAATATATAATAAATAAATTTTAAATACTGAATTAAAAATACACACATATACAGATCAAGTGATAGGAGGTTTTATGAAGTTTTTTTAGGGTTTTTTTAAGGTATGAAGTTTTTGGCGGGGGAAGGGTAAAGAGAACAACTCTGCTTATGTTCTTCATACTACCCACTGATCTTTCAGAGTTTGGGAGTCTGAGGATCAATTCTTCTTCCTCACACCCTTTGGTTAAACAGAACTATATATATATATATATATTTTTTTTTTTTGTCATTAAAGGATGATTTTTTATTATTAATTTTTCACATGTGCATACATTGTTTCTCCACCCTGCCCCCCTCCAGAACTATATATTTTAAAACCTTGTGTGTACTGTTTCTGAGTTTACATTTGTGGGTAATACATGCTATTCAATTTCTTAAACATCCCTTTATTCTGTTATCATTCTAAACTTGTTTAGATAGAACTAGATGATCTGTTTTTATCATTCTTGAAGTAGCCAACCTCAGCTGGCTTTGTAATGTAGTAACCTAGCAAAACCATTGGGCAGAGTTACTTGTATGTTGTAACTCCAAAATAAAAATGGTTAATTTTTTGCTATCTATGATTTAGAACTACTTTGACTATCAGAAATGCTTTCTGGTAGTTGCATTTGTGCCTATGATCTACTCTTCTTTTTTTTTTTTTCTGTTGTCAGTTTTTGTTGGGTTTTTTATTTTCTTTTTTTGATGGTACTGGGGTTTGAACTCAGGGCCTCACACTTGCTCTACCACTTGAGCCACTCCCATTCTGCCATCCTGGTTTTTTTTTTCTGTGCTAGCAGTTAAACCCAGGACCACTTTAATGCTAGGCAAGTTCTCTACCACTGACCTACAATCCCTAGCCCTATCCCCCCTACATCATGGTCATTTATGGCTACCTGACCACAGAGTAATCATATTTGTTTGAGGTGGGGGGGAAGATCAACCATGTATTGGAGAAATAATATAATAAAAGGAAAGATTTTATATGTGCCTTGAATATGTAAAGCATTCTGTGCAAATCATTGAGTTTTCATATTTGATTATTTACTGTATAATAGATATTATGAATCTTGTTAGAGCTTTTACTTATATATATATATAAACAAATGTTCCTGTGACCTAAATTTTTATTGCCACAGCTATTATTTTACAATAAAGTTTAGAAAGTATAGAAAAAAAATATGCCCAGGATCACTGCTAGCATTTTGATATATCTTTATTATACTGTTTTTCTAATATGGATAAAATTAAATGAATTAAATGTTTACATCTGCCTTTGCTTCCCCTCCTCCTCTCCCCATTCCCCTGCCCCGATGCTTGGGAATTTAGGGCCTCAACAGCCCTATATCTGCTTTTGTTCATCTGTTTTGTTTTTTAAGACAGGATCTCTCAGATTTTTTAAGACAGGCAACCCAGGCTGGCCTGTAACTCATAATCCTCCTGCCTCAGCTTCCCAAGTGATGAGATTAAAGGCTCAGTTTGATACCTACTTTTAAAAATAGAAATCACAGCTGGGCGTGGTTGTCCTTGCCTGTAATCCCAGCCTACTCAGGAGGAAGAGATCGAGAGGATCGCAGTTGAGACCAACCCAAGTATAAAGTTAGCAAGAACTCCATCTCAAACAATATGCCAGGTGTAATGGCACACATCTGTGATCCCAACTACATGAGGCCATAGCTGGTAGGATCTCCATCTGAGTACTACCCAAGGAAAAAAACAATACCTTATCTGAAAAATAAAGCAAAAAAGGTCCGGGGACATGGCTGAAGTGGTAGTGTGCCTGCCTAGCAAACACGGTACCCTAAGTTCAAACTCCAGTACTGCCAAAAAAATTTGAGGGGATGGAAATTGTATATTTAGATAGACAGATAGATAGATAGATATTCCAAGCATTTTTTCAAGTATCTTTAGAGTACTTGAAAAGCCTTCTGTGAAAAATAGATGTTATATACTTAAGAGTATTGGTGCATTACAGTTACATATTATATTTTAATTTTAATACCCGTTGTTTATACAATATAAATCTCTGAGGCAGGAGGATTTTGTGTTTGATGCCAGTCTGGTCTACCTAGCAAGACCCTGTCTTAAAAAAAAAAAAAAAAAAGAGCTAGGCACAGGTGGCTCACGCCTGAAATCCTAGGTGCTCTGGAGGCCAAGATCAGGAGGATCTCAGTTTGAAGCTAGCCCCAGGCAAATACTTTGCGGAAACCCTATCTTGAAAAAAAAAAAATCCAGCACTAAAAAGGGCTGGGAGTGACTCAAGTGATAGAGCACCTGCCTAGTAAGCATGAGGCCCTGAGTTCAAACCCCAATATCACAAAAAAAAAAAAAGAAAGAAAGAAAGGAAAAGAAACATTGAATTCTGTAACCACAGTGAGCATATCTAAAAAGTTTGAATTTTTCTACTTGTATAAAGCAGATAAGTTTAGAGAGAGGTGGGGTTTTTTGATATTGTCTCCACAGCTTAGTGTTTTTTCAGGTTGATGTGAAAGCAATTGAGGCAATTTAAAAGAAATCTTACCATGGATATGTTGTAAAAGATAGTTAAGTGTGTTATTAATTACATAATTTAACTTTCTGAGAATCTGAGTAAAGAATTGAGAAGTGTGTGTAATTAAAAGAACATCCTATGGTATCTCAATAAGACAATGAGTAAACTTGATTCCTTTGGTTCTTTGTGTGGATAGAGCAACTTGCTGAGCTTCGTCAGGAATTTCTTCGACAAGAAGACCAGCTTCAGGACTACAGGAAGAACAATACTTACCTTGTGAAGAGGTTAGAATATGAAAGGTAAGATGCTCCATGTAACAAATGTCTATGAATCTGAAATATTTGTCCAATTTTTGGGCTTAATTCAGTTCGTCCTTTTTGGCTTCTATTTTTCTTTTGCTTAGGTCTTTTTAAATTCACTTCATTTTATCTTTGAGTGGCTCAGTGAAGTATCTTGATATGTTAAACACCATAAAAATATCTTTTATAGAACATGTTGACTTTGCCTATGTTGTAGCATTCATTGTGAGAAAAAATTTTACAAGCTGTTAGTCTGTCAGATTAGATGTGGCAACGACTGAAAGAAGAGTCTATGATTCTTTTTGAGGGACATTCTAGAAAATGAAGGGACATGACCTCAGCTGAGGGATTGAGTGCTGCCTGCTTCTTTTCTGCACTTCATTGTCCTTGCTCATACTTGTATATGCAGTGAAGAGATTGGGGAACATCTTAGGGGCCTTTCTAGCAACTGTTCTTTAAAAAACTTTATTGTACCTTTAATCAATTTTAGAGTAAAAGGTATTTTTTTAGATCTATATACCTAAAGTAAGAAAGATGCACTATATTTTAAAAGTTTATCCATTTCAGACTACTGTAGATTATCAGTATGCATCTATTTACATACTTGTATTTTTAACCTACAAGTATACAGTACTTTTTCATATACCTCTAGGATTAGAGACCTAATATATTGAGAGATAATCTATTGTTCCAGCATACTAATGTACCAGAACTTGTTTAGCTTCTCTCAGTTGTGGAGCCACTGTAGTTTTCTTTTTCTTAATAAGACTAATACAGTAGGCTGGGGGTATGGATCAAGTGGTATAGCACCTGCCTAACAAGCACAAGGCCCTGAGTTCAAACCCCAGTACCACAAAAAAAAGTCTCACAGCTTTAGAATTGTTTATGCAAAAAAATTTTCCCGTTACTTGGAGAAATTTAAAAAAAAATTTTTGGTGGTTCTGGGGTTTGAACTCAAGGCCTCACATTTGCTAGGCAGGCACTCAACCACTTGAGCCACTGCATCAGTCAAAATTTTTTTTGTGGCACACTGGGGTTTGAACTCAGGACTTTGTGCTTGCAAGGCAGGCGCTCTTACCACTTGAGCCACTCTGCCAGCCCATTACTATTTCACCTAGTGTTTATTCTCAAATGTATAATTCCTGAGAAAGAATGTTCTACCAGTTTTGTTGTTATTGTAGCATAGATAAAGATTGCTTTCTGAAATGATTGTGCTAATTTATGATGTACGTTTCCCCATAGCTCTATTAACATTGGTTGTAATTCTAATTTTTCTAATATAGAAATAAGGTACTACATTGTATGTAAATAGATATTTAATTTCCATTTATAATGATAAAAGTTAACATTTTTCTGTGTATTCATTGTTTTGTGTGAATGATCTATTTATATCCTTTGACTGCCTATTCAGCAGAAAATCACTGTATTTAACTGTTTTGCTTTTTTTTTTTTTCATTTGCTCTTGATGGTACACTTGATCATCTTCTTTAGTTTTTTCCATTCCTGTTATTCTATGATTTGGACTTTTCTTATAGTGTTTAAAATACTGTTGAACAAATAAATAGCTGTCATTCCTTATCAACTCTCCTAATTTTAGCTTTTATCATCTATTACTATAAGTTGGTCTCACAGTTTTTTCTTGTATTTTATTTTCCTCTCCTGTGATTAAAATTGGCCTTGACATTTGTTTTTTTATAGTGCAGTTTGGAAAACAATAGAATAAGAATTGTTTTCATCTTTCTAGTTTCTGTTTTTCAATTAGCTTTTATCAGTATTCCTTATCCCCCATTAAAGTTGAAATATTTAAAAATTCTGACTGAGTTGTCTTACGTTATTTTCTGCTACTCTCCTCTACTCACTGAATGTTTTATTGTTTTAAATGTGTGTGTCAACTTCTAGATAGCTTTGAGAATTCAATGCAACATAATATAATCTAAAAGAATGACTTTGTAATTTAGCTTTCAGTGTGGACAGCAGATCAAGGAATTAAGAGCACAGCATGAAGAAAATATTAAAAAGTTAGCAGACCAATTTTTGCAGGAACAAAAGGTAAGTTTTTAAAATATACCTAAACCAAAATATGTTTTTGTTATGTCAAGTAACGTAGAAATTAAAAAGTTGTACTTTTGCTTATAAAACAGTATATTTTTAGTATTCTGTCCTGCCTACTTAAAAAAATAATGGACATTGATTTTATTGCTGAGTAAATTGGATAATTGCAAAAAATATAACTTTAACTCTTTTTTTGTTTGTGGTATTGGTGATAGAACAAGGACTCTACCACTTTAGTCACATTCCCCAGCTCTTTAATTCATAAAACTAATTTTGAGCTAAAATATCCTTTATGTAACTTATTATTATTTTTTTTTTTTGCAGTACTGGGACTTGAACTCAGGGCCTACACCTTGAGCCACTCCACCAGCCCTTTTTTGTAAAGGGTTTTTTCAAGATAGGGTGTTGGGAACTATTTGCCTGGGTTGGCTTTGAACCACGATCTTCCTGATCTCTGCATCCTGAGTAGTTTGGGTGAGCCACCACTGCCCAGCTCTTTTGTGACTTTTTAAAAATAATTTTTGTCTGACACAGTGGTACATACCTGCAGTCCCAGCTACATGGGATGCTGAGGCAAGAGTATCGCATGAGCCCAGGAGTTTGAGGGTGTTTTGGGAACATAGCAAGACCCTATTTATAATAACAATAATAATAATAATAATAATATTTTAGGTGGGTTTTTTTTTTTTTTTTTCTTTTTCTTTTTCCTGTGGTACTAGGGTTTGAACTCAGGCTTTCACCTTGAGCTATTCCACCAGCTCTTTTTGGTGATGGGTTTTTTATTTGTGTGTGCACTTTTTTTTTTTTTTTTTTTTTTTTTTGATGTGGGATCTGGCTATGTAGCCCAGGCTGGATTAAACTGGAGATCCTTCCAACTCAACCTCCATTTCTTATCTTACGCATTTGAGAAACTTTTCCTTACATTATCAGTCACTGTTATTCTAATACCCTATCTTAAAGCACAGACATGAAACACTAGCCACTACAGTAAGGCAACATTATTTACAGATTTTTTACATGCAGTTTTCACCGAGCATGGTAAAAAAAATTTTTTAAAGTTCAAAACCAAAAATTTTCAATTTCTCTGTGCACATCATGAAGCTCAATTAATGTAGAGGAGCTCTGTCAGTCCCACATTGTTGTCGTTTGTGTTTAAATCATCATGTGATCTGCTGAGTGTTTGCCTGCTCTTAATTTTGTGAAAATATGTCTCCCCAAAAAGAAAATGGTGCTCATAAAGCAAGGTAAAAGTTAATGTGCTTAATTTAAGTGATAAAGTGAAAATGTTAGATTTGTTATTTTCAGTGGAAGTTGAGTGGTGTTATGGGAAAAATGAATTATAAGCATCTGAAGTACAGAATTGAATTGCATTCTGAACATTCTTCCACCTCAGTCTCCTTAGAACCATATGCCCACTATTACCACTTTTGACTCATACTTTTTTTTTGGAGATGATAGGGATTGAACCCAGAGCCTTGCATGTGCTAATGAGCACATGCTGTACCACTAAGCCACATCCCAGCCTTGATTCATACTTTTTGAGGTGGCAGATTCTTTTATATATCCATATTTAGTTAAAGTATCATAAAGATTATTTTAGAAATAGAGGGAATTTTTCTGAAGACCACTAACTATCAGGGATATAAATCTTTTTTGAATGCTCTGTAATTTCACTGACGGCATGGATTATATATAAGTCTTATGATAAAATGAAGAACAATTCAGTAGTGAAAAGTTAATTGTTTTGCTGTTTGCTAGCATTTCAACTAAAGCACTAGAAGTTAAAGACATAAGGTTTTTGTTCTTAGATTCGCTACAGTTTTGCAGCAGGGTATTGAAGGTGACCTTTTTCTTTTCTTTTTTTTTTCAATCTACAAATTGGAATTGCTGCTACCTCTCGTAGTTTACTTTGAAAAGATATGAAAATAGATTGGTGGAGGAAGGCAAGCCCAAGTGAGCAAACAGTAGAGGCATTGAGGGTAGCCAGAAGGTAGTACTGAGACACTGGAAGGTTAGAAGAGCATGGTAGAACACAAAAGAAAGGGGAAGAGAAATTTTCTGTGCTATTGTGTCATTATAAGCCTGATATACATATAATAATAGGGTAAATTTTATATTATTAATTAATGAATGCCTCTTCAATTCTTCCTTGCCCTTGACCTACCCTAATTGGAACAATGCAGAGCAGGGATGGAGTTCCCCTGGGAACCACTTCTTTTTAGGGTGGAACACTTTATACCTTCACACCTGATTCTGCTCCCTTCCCTTCATGCCCTGTTGTTCAGCTACTGTAACAATTTGGTTCTGTGAAATTTGAGTATGTTTTTATAGGGACAAATCCAGATTAACTATAGGAATCAAGACATAATTATATTCAATGGTTTATTTATTGATTGATTTGTTAGTTAATTTACCAAGCATGTGTTTATCTTAGAAATTACTCTGGGGAAGGGAGTCACAGGCCAAATCTAGCCTGCTGTGTGCTGAAAAAACTCAAGAGAATAATGTTTTATCACATGGGAATATTATAAGAAATTTATATTTTAGTGTCTATAAATAAAAACTGTTTGCAGCTTTTGTAATGTAAGGACAAAAAGACTGTTATAGACAGGAGGAGACTAAGGAGACTTGTGGGCTAAAGTGCAGTGTAGTGTCCTGAATTAATCTTAGAATAGAAAAAGGACCTACTGGAAAAGCTGAGGAAATCTAAATAAAGTCTGAAGTTTAGTTAATAATAATGTACTAATATTATTTTCTTAGTTTTGCAAATTACCATGGTAAAGTAAGGAAATTAGAGAAATAGGTTAAGGAGTAGTTCTTTTCCTATAAATCTAAAATTATTTCAGAATAAAAGGCTTATTTCAAAAACAATTAGAAGGACTGAAGGTGTGGATCAAGTACTAGAGTGCCTGCCTAGCAAGCACAAGGTTCTGAATTCAAACCCCAGTACCATCAAAAAAATAAAAATAAAAAGGGGGGTCCTCTAACCAAATCACAAATCCATTTAGAAAGCTGTCTTATTAAGAATTATTTAAATTAATCCATCACGTAAAGGTAATGTCAGTAATAACATTAAAAGGACAAAATCTTTATGAACTTTTTTCAGTGAAAAAGTGTTTTTGAACAGTAGTTTCTTGACTTTTAATTTTTTTCTTAAATTTTATCAGTATGGACTGGGAGAGTGGCTCACGTGGTAGAATGCCTGCTTAGCAAGTGTGAGGCCCTGAATTCAAACCCCAGTATTGCCAAAATTTTTTTTGTTTGTGTATATTAATTGTACAAAGTGAGAGGTTTCACTGTGATAGTTCTGAACATACATATAATGTACTTTTATCATATTCACCCACTATATGACTCTTAACCCTCCTCTCTAAACCCTCTCTTTTTTTCCTTTTGAGACAGTCTTGCTGTGTAGCCCAGGCTGACCTTGAACTCATGATCCTGCTTTAGCATCCCTGAGTGCTAGGATTATAAGCTTCCACCACCATCACTCCCAGCAACTTTTAATTTTTAGTATTGTTTTATCCACCTAAGCAAAAGTGAAGTCTTATAGAAATAGTCTTAGGATATAGCATTGTAGTGAAAATATAGATGTAGGATGGCTGCTTAGGTACCTCAGGGATTATCTCACCCTTGACTTTCATATTGACATTTTCAAAAATTTGAGTTTAATCAGTCACTAGTGACTAAGCTCGTGGAATTGGTTGTAGTTTATTGAGCTACCAGAAAATGTGAAGTTTTGGAGTCAGACAGTGTTTGAGTCCCTTCTCTATAATTCTCTAGCTTTGTGACCTAGAACAAGCGCCTAACTTTTTTAAAGCCTTAGTTTTATTTTTCTCCAAACTATTTATTTATCTCTATTACAAAGGTATCTACCCTCTGGTAGACATGAAAGTCCTGCCTTGTTTCAAGAGGGGGCCCTTCTCATTTATTTGTTTTTATTTATTTATTTTGAGGTAGAATCTCACTATGTAGCTCACACTGGCCTTGAAGTCTCTCCTCCTGCCTCAACCTCCCGAGTGTTAGTATTAAAGGCATGTACCACTATGCCTGGCCTCCTTTCTCCTTCAATATGACACATTAACAAGATTTGACTCTTGTCTTTTTTTAGACTGCATATAGATTTTTAGTATTGTTTTTATAGAATTAATAATTACATTACATAAGGCTTTAGCATATACAATGCATTTATATATACATTAAATGTTAACTATAGGGAACTACCTGTGTGGCAACCCATGCATATATACTTTACTCCTTGCCTTTCTTAATTTCTCTCTGAAACAACTCAAAATTAGTTCACCAATAGAATTGAGTTAGGCCTAAATGTATACCTAAAGACTTGTTTCAAGAACATGCTATGGTTAGGAGCAGGTTGTAGTGACCAACTTCCTTCTGTTCTGCCACTCTGATTAATTCAAGTATTTGTGTACATAGAACTTATCCTGCCCATAGAACCCAGGACAATACCCTACTGTAGTCACCATAGCAACCCACACTGCTCAGAAGGTTGTCTTACAGAATTACTCCCTTGGCATAGCCAAAGAGAATTCCTTCTGCTTAACATTCTAGGCCATTTTACTATAATTAGAGATTTTTTTAAATGTTAGTTTTTTAAATTTCGTATCAGCTAATAAAACTGAACAGAAGCTGGGCACTGTTGGCCCATGCCTGTAATTCTAGCTACTTGGTTAGGGGCTGAGATTGGGAGGATCACCGTTCAAGGCCCAAGCAAATGGTTTGCAAGACCCCACTTCCAAAATAATCAGAGAAAAATGGACCGGAGTTGTAGCTCAAGTGGTAAAGTGCCTGCTTTGTGAGCCACCTGCTTTGCAAGTGCAAAGCCCTAAGTTTACACCAGTCTGATAGAAATGAATAAATAATAATAATGAATAAATGTCTCTCATTTCCAAGTGTTGTAGAGTTTGAACCCATATTATAGGTAAATTGTTTCAGAATATTTAATTTATGGCTGTATCAATGGCATAACAATTTGAACTAAAAAAGTATTTGCTGTTATCAAATCTTTTATCCAACAGCCAGAGGCCCACAAAAGTCAATCAAATGATGGAAAAGAATTGGGTATAAATGATCATATAGTACCTAAAAATAACCCAAAAGAAGCTGAGAATGCTGCAGATAAAAATGAAGAGCCCTCAAGCAATCATATTCCAAACCCTCATGGGAAAGGTATTAGTATTATTTTGTTTCTTGTTAATAGAATATTGAATTTTCTTCCGTAGGATTTTTTTTTTTTTTTGAGGTGCTTCTGGGGATCAAAACCACGGCCTTGCATGTGCTAGGCAAGTGCTCTAGCACCGAGCCACATCCCTAGCTTTTTCTTCTCATTTTGAAGAGAATATTTTCAATCATAAAGAAAATTATTGACTGGTAGAATGGCTCAAGTTGTAGAGCACCTTCCTATCAAGAGTGAGCCTGAGTTCAAACACCAGTGCTGTAAAAGAAAGAAAATTGTTTGGTTTTAGTTCAGATATTGTTAGTTGTCTGTGTTGTTTTAAAATGTGACTGCTGGGAGGAGGGAGATGGTATAAATAGGGTATACACATGTAAATGTAAAAGCGATAAAATAAAAGGAGAAAAGAAAAGAATAAAAAAGCCATAAGCCATAAGTTCATTAAAAAAAAGTCATAAAATATGTGATTCCTTCGACAGAAAAAAAAGTTATTTTAGCCTTTCAGCTATGTTCAAAGCAATATGTAAAAGTTTTCAATGACGCCTATTGCTTTAGAAACTGATCATTACTTTCCTTCAAAACATTTTCATTTTTTCCAAAGAAAAAATATGGAATTGTATCTTTTTGTTATTTGAGCAGAACAAATCAAACGAGTTGGTGATGCAGGGATGCCTGGAATAGAAGAGAATGACCCAGCAAAGGTTGATGATCTTCCCGCTGGTAAGTAACAGTTATTAGAAAATTCAATTGCAATGATTATATTATTTTTCATGTGGACCTGTTCTCTTGTTGTTGTTGTTTGGCAGTACTGGGGTTTGAACTTATGCTTGTTTGGCAGGCGCTCTGCCACTTGAGCTACATCTCTAGCCCTTGTTTAGTTTTTTTTTTTTAAATAGTCTCACAGTGTAGTCCAGGCCAACCTTGATCTCACTAAGTAGCGCAGGCTATCTTCTAACATAAAATCCTCTTGCCTGAACTTTCTGAGTGCTGGGTTCCCATTCCTTTTTTGGTTAAGACTTGGAAAAACCACAGCTTTTTGGATGATTGGTATTTATCATTTGTTAACTCACCAATATCTGTGTGGTTAATTTTTTTTTGGATATAATTTCTATGAAATTTTTGCAAACTATATAAAATGCTTGTTTTGCCTTGATAAGAGTCAGCCATATTTGAACCTTTTTCTTAATAATTCATGACAATTGTGCTATGTTAAAGTCATTCATGTTTACTGAAACTGGCCCAGATTCTTTTCTTTTAAACCCAGTATTTCCAGATTGCTGTGCTGTTGGTGTACTTTAATGTGGCATAGTGATAACCTTACAGGAGTTATTTAGGTGTTAGGATTTGGCTTGCCTTTATAGTGAATTACCCCACACTTGTGAATCGTTTATTCACTATTTTTTATTTTCTTATTTTATAATGACTTTTATTCAATGTATATCTTTCTTCATTAATGTGTGTAGTTCTTATTCATTACACTTGAAGTCCTAATCTTACTCAGTTCTTTTTTTCTCCATGACTCTTTGTTTTTCTTGCCATATCTGTTTTCCTTGGGTGTTACAGATAACTCTCTCTGCCAACTTCAGTTTGTCATGTCTTTGCTGCTGCTTGGTTGTTTTTATTCCTTCTCAGTTTCAGTGATTACTTTTGTGATTATGGCAATTGTACATGTCTGAAATTGCTGATTGTCTGAGATCCAAATCAATGAAGTATTAGTCATTTCACTAGTATAGTCCTCCTGTGTTCTCAAATTCTTTCACGTCTATATTCTCCTAAAGTAAAGGTAAGGACAAAAATAATAATATGAATTTGAAAATGCAGAATTAGAATGAACAAGATTTTATTGTAAGACCATGAAGTAATCAGTATTTGTTAAAATGTCATCTTTGGCATCTATGACCTTGTTAGAAATGCAGATTCCTAGACCTCACTTCAGATTTAATGAATTAGAAATTTTGGAGCCAGAGCTTAGTAACTTGTAGGAGCAATTTGTGGGACTACCTCTGAGAGACCCACCTTACTCATAACCAAACAGTCCCTGTTGATCCTTTATCCTGGACCTATGGCATTCTGTACTAGTTCTGTTCTCAGTTGTGGCTGAGTATAACATGTATAATAAATCATCTCTTCTGTTGTCTTAGCTGAAGAATTGGAAAAAAAAAGACTATATAAAGCAAAAATAGTAATAATGAAAATGCTATTTATGAAATCTGTTTTTCAAAAACCATATATAGAAGTAAAACATATGACAGAGTACAAAGGATGAGGCAAGACAAACAGAAATTTTATCTTTGTTTCATTTTGAGATAGGACCTCGCTATATAACCCAGGTTGTGCTTGAACTCACTATCCTCCTGCCTTAGTTTCCGAAGTGCTGGGATTATAGGCATGTACCACCACATCTGGGTCCTAATCTGTGTTTTAACAAACTCTCTTGAGTGTTTCTGGTCTGTGTTAAAGTTTGAAGGACCACTGACTTAAAGATTAATCTAAAGAAGTTAATGTTGAGCAGGGCATTGAGGTAGGAGGATTGTAGGTTCAAGGCCAGACTGGACTATATAACAAAATCCTGTCTCAAAAAAAGAAAAAACGGGCACCAGGAGTCCCTCTAGCTCAAAACCCAGTACTGCTAAAAGAGAGCGAGACAGAGAGAAGAAAAGAAAGAAAAAGAAAAGAATACTGAGTTTGCAACATTTACCCTATTCCTCAACTCACTGAGTTTTAGGTTTATTCATTTCTTATTGCCCTTATACGAAGTTTTGCCAGGGATAAATTGCAGGTTTCTAGTATGTAGAAATACTCTATTCAGATAATAAACAAAGATTGGGTACCTGCTTGCTTGCATGAATTTATTTTTCACATGATCTGTCTATATATTGTTTATGGGCTGGGGGTGTAGCTCAGTGGAGAATGCTAGCATGTATATGAGGCCCCAGGTTCAATCCCTAGCAAAAACAAAAGAAAACATATTGTTTACATATTTCTTCATAGTTTTCAAGTTAAAATTTTATGATTACTATGCTAAGTATAATCACTCTCTTTTTTTGGGAGGGGTACTGAGATTTGAACTCAGGGCTTCATGCTTGTTAGGCAGGCACTTGGTATGATATCTCAATTTACTTTCCATTGGTCATAATTTATTACTAACCACTAAGAAATCCAGAGTTAGGGTAAAATGAAATGGAAATAAAAGAAGTCTTAGAGATTTTATCCTGCCAATTTTTGGTTATATTACTGTTAATGAACAGTGGTTTTCAAAAGTCTGTCATACATGAACCACTTCAACAGGACAAAAACCTTATCTTTACCTTTTTTGTTTCATAAGTTAAAAAAAGATGGGCTGGGTTCCTGTGGCTCACACCTATAATCTTAGCTACTTGGGAGGCAGAGATCAGGAGGGTCACATTTCAAAGCCAGCCCAGGCAAATAGTTTGTGAGACCCTATCTCAAAAAAAAAAAAAAAAAAAAAAAACCCCAATACAAAACAGGGCTGGTGGAGTGGCTCAAGTGGTAGAGTACCTGCCTACCAAGTATGAGGTTCAAAACCTGGGACTTCCCCCACGAAAAAAAATACATGGGAAGATCAGGGGAGATAAAGGAGAATGATGGAGGGGGGTGAATTCAACTACTGTATATTGTAAGAACATTTTATAAATGTCACAATGTGCCCTAGTATAACAATAATATAATAAAAAAAGAAATTACAAAAACAAGATGGGCTGAAGGCATGGTTCAAGCAGTAGAGCAACTGCCTAGCAAGTGCAAAACCCTGAGTTCAAACCCAGTACTACCAAAAAATTAAAAAAAGAATGCATAGTTTTTTTATTAGAATTAATAGAAATCAATAATGCTACTTTTGATGAGATGCCAACAAATTCATAACTGATTTTTATAATATGAACTTGTCCATATTAATTCACACAGGAGTTATAGCACTATAGTTTGGAACTGGGAAAACCAGCAAAATAAACATTTTGGGTAAATTTAGCATTAATGCCAAAATATCAGTATCTCCAGATGCTGTCTATATTGTTGTGATATATTAGAGGTCTTCCTCTGAATTATTTTTTGTGTGTCTTCTAGTGTACCTGAGAGTTTTTAGAGGCTTCAAATACTTGATTAATATCATTAAAAGAAAAAAAATGTGACTACTGTTGGCTAGAGGACAGGCTTAGGGATCTAGCTGTCTCAGACCCTGTTTACTCTCTTATTTTTTTTTTGTTTAGACTTTTCAAATCTGTTTTTATTTATTTGCTTGTTTATTTATTTGGTGGTACTGGAGTTTGTACTCAGGCCCTTATGCTTGTAGGCTTGCTAGGCAGGTGCTCTACTATTTTGAGCTACTTCCCCAGCCCTCCTGTTCACTCTCTGATAGCTGAAGACTTCAATAATTTAGCACAGTGGTAACCTATAAACAATACCTAGTACAGTGGCTCTGAGGCTATGTATAAGGACATAAACTTAAAAGTAAAATCCTTATAGGCTTGTCTTCAGCTTCACTGAAGACAGTGAATATTCACTGAAGACAGTGAATATTGTCTATATTCACTATATAATATAGTGTCTATATAGACACTATAA